GTTGTATGATAGGGATGTGATGAACAGCAGAAAGTTGTGAACAGCGAATTGAATATCGCTAGTTCCGTTTGCATGGAGAAAAAACAACCACATGGTCCGATATGCATTTTTTTCACTATCTGTTGTTTTAGAGGCACATATTCTTGATGTATGTATTCTAATTTCGGCCTATAAGCCCCCCCCCCCCCCTCTCCCTCCCCTCCCCCCTCTCTCTGTGTCTCTCGACCTCTCTTATAATTTCAATTTATAAATTAAAGCATTTAAAAATGAAATAGTGTATATATGCATATTAATTAAGTCTGCTATCTTGTACTATTGTAAATATATGCTGTTCATTTGCTGGGAAAGGGATTAATATAAGTTTAATAGCTTGTGCCCAATCCATTCGCTTGGCAATAAAATATGTTTAAACTAAAACTAAAACACAGCTTTAATTAATCTAATACAACCCCACTGTGTATGTGACCAAGCTTGATTGGGAGTGCGGCTATATCTTACCATCGTCCCATTTGGGATCATTTCAATTGCGTTTCCAAAAATTATGAAATAATACAATTTGTATTTGTTTCGGAACTCCTCGGGGTTTATCCATCATAATTGCCAACCATTATAAGGGAAATAACTCCTCCGTTCTTACAAGGGGCACAACAAATGCATGGTTTCTTACGCGATTCATTCCGTTGTGAATATATAGCCTACATATTTTAGTGATCAACGCTCTATATACTACTCTTACCATCGTCCCACTAAATTAGCAACAGAAAACTATCATTTATTTATGTTTTCCCAAAAAATATTCCTAGCCCCTTTTTTGATTGTGGCAATCCCCATTCCATTCCATAGACAGTTATCGGGCGATGTGGACGCATGTGTGGTAGCAAGCAAATTTATACAAAAAACAACCCATAACTGAGAAGGTAAGATGACAAATTTAATTTTATATTATGTGTTTGATATTACTAAATGCATATTCAAGTGCAAAGATTACGGAGAACGGATTAACTCTATATTTTCACAGTTTGAAATCATCGTCGTCAGACGACCACTGTAAAAACGATTGTTTGTCGGGTTTTTTCACCACACGTTTACTCCTCGTGACATACTGATGTTTTGGTGTTGAAGATTTGGGTCCCACTGATCTCGGGTTGCGTCGTTCACGTACTTCTGTACGAGGTTCTAGTACGGGTTCATAATTTATAGGATATTTGTTTTTTTGTCTTGTATTAGGGCGTGCACCCGATTCACCAGAGCTGGAAGGTTGAGGTGCTGCAATACGCACAGACGGAGGCGGAATTTGTGCTACACATGATGTTGGTACTACAGACCTGACAGGAAGATGACATGGCCGCTCCAGTGACGATTCGCGCGGATTCACTATATCGTCAGCATCGTAATCTGACAGCTCAATATCTTCGTCAACACGTGAAATGGTTGTGTTGCTGTGATTTTGGGACGCCGTGAGCCACGTGTCAAAGAGAGGAGATGTGTAGGAATACTGGGGTGGTTTGTCAAGAGTGAATACCGTTTGTACGAGGCGAAAAAATGCACTGTACTTGTTTTCATTTTGGAAATGGTTACGCCATATGATTTCGCATAAATGGCTTTCAAAATTAGAAATGGAGGTCCCATTAATCTTGCGGAAGTGATCCTTAGCGTGTTTCCATGCACCCTCGATAGTGTTTGTGTTAACCTCAATGATTTCGGCGGTTTCCACGTTCTTGTAAGACTTTTTAAACTGGATTTTGTGAATGAGGGAAAAGTGCTTGTACCCCAGGGCATTGAGGTGGTCATACCCTCGCCAACTGTCTGTGTAGATAGTAGAGCGTGCCTGCACGTGTCTTTCGATGATTGTTTCTAATGTATCGCTATAGCTATTACGGTTTGACACCGGATATAAGAGAAGTTTGTTGGACCCTCGTTCGACTAAACCAACTATCCAAACACGGACACCACTTTGTCTATTTCCCCGGTTATATTTGCATTTTTTCCCGAACAACGACTCATCGATCTCTACGATTCCTTCAAGTTTAGTATTTTGGTATTGGAGATGAACATACTCCTTGAATAGCTCTCGAATGAAAGACGCCCAATCCACAGCGGTCTTTTTGTAATTTATTCCTGCGAGAGCAGCAGATTTGAACAATGTGTGGCCATCCAGAAACTTTCTTATGAATTCCAAAATGTCACGAATATCTAATTTGGACGCTTCAAAAAAAGAAAATTTCCTGTTGGAAAACTCGTGTGAATTATTTTTTTTTACATCTCCACGTCATACCATCAACTTTATTCGCTCTCTTCGCGTGGTAGCACTCAGAATTACATTTCGGACAGAATAGGTTTGATAACAACAGTCCATTCCTTTGACACCAGTCTAAGAGACATGTTCATTTCCAAGAAGAAAAAGGGCGAAACAATTCCAAGGATTGCTGAAATCTCCGAAAGTGATATTTCGGACGTCGCTTGCCCTCTGACGAAAATGCCCATAGCTTCTGTCGCCGGTCTGCCGTGAACTCATGACCTACAATAGAAAATATGAGTGTTGTTTAACTTTATTGCTTTACAAGTATTTGGGTTCACTCCGTGGAATTGGATCCAACTTTCTCTTTAACTTTAAATATTTGACACACTTCAAATTTCAAATTAAATCAAACAAAAAAAATCAATTAAACTACCAAAAATACATATATACATACCGTCTCGCACTGGAGTGCTGGTAAATTCTTGGCTCCCCGTTCAGGTACTCGTACCTATTGTTACTAATGTTGTAGGCATATAAACCGCGACTATATCTCCCCTCCTCGAACAAGCGAAATAACGCGACCAGATGGCGCTTGGCGCTGTCGTCCCTCAACAATCCCATAAAAATTGCCCAGTCTATGAGGAGGTCCGGGTTCAATCCGTTAACCCATGCGAATGATACTATGATTATTCGTTGAAAATGTCTTATATTTTGTGTCCAAAACAGGCGTCGAATTGTGATTGGCCATAATCGGGCGGGGCCAATCAAATCCTGGATTAGAAACCATTTTTCTTGCTGTTGAGCGTTTCGATTCATGTTTGAAAAGTGCTGATTGAACACATTTTCGCGACGTTTATGCGTGGTAATTATAATGATATGCAAAAATCATGAAGGACAAAAGTGTGCATGAAGAAGATTCTATTTTCTAAAGTGACCATTGGTACTATTTCACCCATTCCCAACACTGAAATACAACACGTGACGCTAATCTGTAACCCCTATACCGCCGATTTTCACAAACATTGATCCTTCAGATCGTGGAAAATCGCATGCATGCATAATTTTTCCTATTGAGTGTATGACACTGAAACGCATGCTATTGGTGATTTTTGTAATTTGTGTGTTGGACACTTGTTGTGAATACAGCTGATTGTAATTGTCTCGTTATAATTGAATTACAATGATGTGGCGAATAAATATCAGTCTTGCGGACTTTTTCTTGTACTTCATTAAAAAAAGACTTTGTAATTACGGCAAGACTTCCATTTTCACCTAAATCCATTCAAACAATGAACGTGCAGATGTACCATCTATTGTTCCTTGCAAATGTATAATTACGTATGTATGTACGTAGCTTCATTCCGTCATGTGTAATGTTTTTGGACAAATAATAACAAAAATTATGAGTGGATGATAGAAAAGAAAGTCTTTCCATTTATACCTTATGTATATTAAGTATATGTAACTACGCTGACAAAAGAAGACTTGACATTTTGCAGTAATGTTTTCACTGTATTGAACACAATTTTTGACTCGTGTCCTGACTGAGGCTCGAACTCCAGGTGTATGGCACTTTAATGAACAACTGCGCAATATTTGAAGGTGCTGTCACATCGCCAAATCCATATTAATATCATTCATAAAACGTAACAAACACATGACATGATTATGACAAATACGTCTCTTACATTACATTAACACCTGGATCGCAATGCATAATCATACAAATATTGTATATTACGTTCCGAGTTTAAAGGTGGGTAACGAAAAACGCACACTAGGCCGCATCCTCTGCAACATCCAAACCCCCCTCTAAACGGAATGAACACTATATAAACATTTAAAAATATGTGTCTCCTTCGAAAGAAATTGTTCAGATCGTGGAAAAGCACGTCCATCCACATTTGTTCCTACTCCAAACGAAACCTAGATATAACGCACTTGCCAACGCTCTAAATCCTACTCTTACTATCGTCCCAGCAGATCACCGCTCTATATACTACTCTTACCATCGTCCCACTAAATTAGCAACAGAAAACTATCATTTATTTATGTTTTCCCCAAAAATATTCCTAGCCCCTTTTTTGATTGTGGCAATCCCCAAAGAAAGCCCTTTCATAGTGTAGGAAAGTCATGACAAAAATGAAAGAACGCCAAGTACACAACTCGCTATCGGCCCTCTATATCCTACTGTTACTATCGTCCCAGCAGATCAACGCTCTATATACTACTCTTACCATCGTCCCACTAAAATAGCAACAGAAAACTATCATTTATTTATGTTTCCCCAAAAAATATTCATAGCCCCTTTTTTGATTGTGGCAATCCCCAAAGAAAACCCTTTCATAGTGTAGGAAAGTCGTGACAAAAACGAAAGTACACCAAGTACACAACTCGCTATCGACCCTCTATATCCTACTCTTACCATCGTCCCACTACATATCATTGCTCTATATACTACTCTTACTATCGTCCCACTAAATTATCAATGACGGAAAATATATTTCCGTCAATGCCGGAGGAGTTATCTATCCCCCATCCTAAAATCAGTAGAAATATGTTGGATCACATGCGAGGAGTTCCGACTGGACCAAAACACTTCTTACACACGCCGATTTTATTAGGTGGTGGGCATCATCCCACTTGGGACGATGATAAGATATAGCCGGGAATGCTAATGCTGAAATTGGAATGTGTGTGTATGATCCTGTAGTGGGGGTATGCGAAATATTACTTTGTAACGCTAACTGCTATAAGTAAAATTGGAGGTGTGTCAATAAAAATGAACCAATCAAATTCCTTGTTACAAACAGTAACAATAACACGTTCAAGGACAAGATGGTGAGTGTTGACTTCTACACTGTTTGTTAATGAAACGCGAATTGATCATGAAGTTTATTTTAAAATACTAATCATCTCGTGTTAATCTCTTTCAGACGACGTATACAGACAAAGGTGAAAAGGTAAGTCTACACAACAAATTCCAGTCTACAGTAAATTGACCTAAAACCTCCAAACCCGCAGGACACAGAAGACGCAGGACAAGGACGTTTTCTCGTGCTAGTTTTACGGAATGACAACAGTGATTAGATGTTTAGAATATTGTTATACTTTGTTACTTTGATATCCAAAACGTACGTACAATAATCTGTTGAATCTATATTACAGAAACCGACACGTAGACAAGTGTCGCATATTTTGTGAGAGTTGTTTCCCTTGTTCCATGTGTTTGTCTTAGGTGGCAGAGTACAGTAGAAATGGCTTGACCCTAAAAATAAAGGGCATCTCTCGGATAAACATGGATAGCGGATTCATCCTGCACAACACACCTACATATATATATATATTTATAAACTACATGTTTAATAGGTGTTTTTTAGAAGAACATTTTTTTTTTTCAAAAAGCAATTTCCCCAGATTTGGGACTTCTGAAAACCATGGTTACCATATCAAAAAACACCAAAATATGCAAAAAATCATGATTTTTAACCCAGAATTTGACCCCCGCAAGTAGAATTGTTTTTCTTAAAACCTGTTTGAAATTAAATATCGCCTACTCGGTAACAGAAATACTCACGTTTTAGCATAGGTCATTCCGGTGGATTTTTCACAATATTTACACATGTGCTGAGTACAAAAATAGACTACCTGAAAAGCTAGCTTTTGTTGTGTAGACACAGATTCGTAAATGCCGAAAATTGTAGTCTCAAACCAAATTCGACTTTTCTTTTTTTTAAATTATGAAGCCCACATAGTCCACTTCCTCATGTATATGCCAATTTTAGTGCTGATTTTTTTTTTAAACTTTGATACATGTTATATTACAGAGGTTATTCATTGTATAAAAATATCACCCATGGCCACCGTACGCTACTGTACTCTGCTACCTTATTATCATTCATGGTATCAGGGATGCGCAGTCCACTACACATCCCTGATGGTATGCAGTTTTTATATTTCATGTTTTTACAAGGTGCAAGATATTTTATTTATAGCCGTATTGAACAGAAACATTAGCTCTGAAAAGTTTTTATTACGACAAAACATAAGAAAAAATTATCACAGCAAGGTAATAAAGATATAAAACTACTATTGCTAAGTATTAAATTGATTATACAAATTAATTAAAAGCACATAGATTAGAGCAAGCACAAATTTCATGCAAATCTGTTAGATGACTAAAAGCACATGGCTATATATATATGCTAATATAACAAAGTATAAAAGTTTACTGAATCACCTCAAGCACGCTACACAACAAGCAAGCACCATAGCGAAATTATAAAACAACATATAGTATGAGAAATATTTCAGAAAATTATAAATACATAAAATTCTTATTATGTTAATAACTTGATATCTCAAATACTAAACAATTATTTTTTATTTGTTTACAGGTGGGGGTTTTTAATGATAATAATCAAGTTAGGATGGTGTGTGTGTGATAAGAACAGGGGCACCTGTTGCCAAACAGGCAATGTCAGTGTAATAAAATAACATGTCCTTGACATTACAATGTATATAATATATAAAAACTAATTATATTTTCAGCCTGAATCAGGCAGATTTGTCAGCTTCGATCATATCACTTTCTGGGTTGGAAATGCCAAGCAGGTAAGTCTGGTTTTAAGTGCTTTATTTATAGAACATATATACGTACACATTATGGATATGAATAAAGATGAGATACAGAAACAGACCTTAAATCATTCCAGAAGTATATAATTGTAGCCTGATTATAATACAAGATATTAGCCAAATTTTAAATTTATTCTATTAAAATGGTAACAAAACAGAGAAATATCCATTTATCTACCTAGTGAGTTGCAAAGTGTTGTCTACAAAGCCACTATGCAGCTGTTATGCTATGACCTACTGTGTGTAATCTACAATGTACAACAGTTAACACTCTAACAGGTGTGTCTGTCATTGGCAGTGGTATATGTCACTATATAGACTGGGGTCATAAAGGGCAGTAACAGAGACAGTAGCAAGTTCATATATCTACATAATGTATATATATATGTCATATTCTCATACTGAGGGCCTCCAGATATCATCTGAATGTGTATTCCAAATATGTCATGTTTGAGTTTGTTTTTGAATTTTTGCTTTTTATATTAAGAGTTTCATTTAAAAAACAAAAACAAACGGAGAGGGTTTGTGATATAATCAAAATTTCCCAACAGAAAAACAATTAAAATTTAAAACAACAAATACATGTACATTGTACATATCAAGTTTATATTTTATGTAGTGGGCAGTGTCCCATTACTGTATTTATGTTGTAGACAGTGTCCCATTACTTTGTGTTTATGTTGTAGGCAACGTCCCACTACTGTGTATTTATGTTGTATACAGCGTCCCTCTACTGTGTATTTATGTTGTAGGCAGTGTCCCATTACTGTGTATTTATGTTATAGGCAGTGTCCCACTACTGTGTATTTATGTTGTAGGTAGTGTCCCACCACTGTGTATTTATGTTATAGGCAGCGTCCCTCTACTGTGTATTTATGTTGTAGGCAGTGTCCCATTACTGTGTATTTATGTTATAGGCAGCGTCCCATTACTGTGTATTTATGTTGTAGACAGTGTCCCACTACTGTGTATTGATGTTATAGGCAGCGTCCCCTTACTGTGTATTTATGTTATAGACAGCGTCCCATTACTGTGTAGTTATGTTGTAGGCAGTGTCCCGCTACTGTGTATTTATGTTGTAGGCAGCGTCCCCTTACTTTGTGTTTATGTTATAGGCAGCATCCCTCTACTGTGTATTTATGTTGTAGGCAGCGTCCCCTTACTTTGTGTTTATGTTGTAGGCAGCGTCCCACTACTGTGTATATATGTTGTAGGCAGCATCCCCTTACTTTGTGTTTATGTTATAGACAGCGTCCCACTACTGTGTATTTATGTTATAGACAGCGTCCCCTTACTTTGTGTTTATGTTGTAGGCAGCGACCCCTTACTGTGTATTTATGTTATAGACAGCGTCCCATTACTGTGTCGTTATGTTGTAGGCACCGTCCCACTACTGTGTATTTATGTTATAGACAGCGACCCCTTACTTTGTGTTTATGTTGTAGACAGTGTCCCACTACTGTGTATTGATGTTATAGGCAGCGTCCCCTTACTGTGTATTTATGTTATAGACAGCGTCCCATTACTGTGTAGTTATGTTGTAGGCAGTGTCCCGCTACTGTGTATTTATGTTGTAGGCAGCGTCCCCCTACTTTGTGTTTATGTTATAGGCAGCATCCCTCTACTGTGTATTTATGTTGTAGACAGCGCCCCCGTACTTTGGGTTTATGTTATAGACAGTGTCCCCTTACTTTGTGTTTATGTTGTAGACAGTGTCCAACTACTGAGTAGTTATGTTGTAGGCAGTGTCCCACTACTGTGTATATATGTTGTAGGCAGCATCCCCTTACTTTGTGTTTATGTTATAGACAGCGTCCCCTTACTTTGTGTTTATGTTATAGACAGTGTCCCACTACTGTGTAGTTATGTTGTAGGAAGTGTCCCACTACTGTGTATTTATGTTGTAGGCAGCGGCCCCTTACTTTGTGTTTATGTTATAGGCAGCATCCCTCTACTGTGTATTTATGTTGTAGACAGCGCCCCCGTACTTTGGGTTTATGTTATAGACAGTGTCCCCTTACTTTGTGTTTATGTTGTAGACAGTGTCCCACTACTGTGTATTGATGTTATAGGCAGCGTCCCCTTACTGTGTATTTATGTTATAGACAGCATCCCCTTACTTTGTGTTTATGTTGTAGGCAGCGACCCCTTACTGTGTATTTATGTTATAGACAGCGTCCCATTACTGTGTCGTTATGTTGTAGGCACCGTCCCACTACTGTGTATTTATGTTATAGACAGCGCCCCCTTACTTTGTGTTTATGTTGTAGACAGTGTCCCACTACTGTGTAGTTATGTTGTAGGCAGTGTCCCACTACTGTGTATTTATGTTGTAGGCAGCGTCCCACTACTGTGTATTTATGTTGTAGGCAGTGTCCCCTTGCTTTGTGTTTATGTTGTAGGCAGTGTCCCACTACTGTGTATTTATGTTGTAGGCAGCGTCCCACTACCGTGTATTTATGTTATTGACAGCGTCCCCTTACTTTGTGTTTATGTTGTAGGCAGCGACCCCTTACTGTGCATTTATGTTATAGACAGCGTCCCCTTACTTTGTGTTTATGTTGTAGGCAGCGTCCCTCTACTGTGTATTTATGTTGTAGGCAGTGTCCCCTTGCTTTGTGTTTATGTTGTAGGCAGGGTCCCACTACTGTGTATTTATGTTGTAGGCAGCGTCCCACTACCGTGTATTTATGTTATTGTCAGCGTCCCCTTACTTTGTGTTTATGTTGTAGGCAGCATCCCCTTACTGTGTATTTATGTTATAGAGAGCGCCCCCTTACTTTGTGTTTATGTTATAGACAGCATCCCCTTACTTTGTGTTTATGTTGTAGGCAGCGACCCCTTACTTTGTGTTTATGTTGTAGGCAGCGTCCCCTTACTGTGTATTTATGTTATAGACAGCATCCCCTTACTTTGTGTTTATGTTGTAGGCAGCGACCCCTTACTGTGTATTTATGTTATAGACAGCTTCCCCTTACTTTGTGTTTATGTTGTAGGCAGCGACCCCTTACTGTGTATTTATGTTATAGACAGCATCCCCTTACTTTGTGTTTATGTTATAGGCAGCGTCCCCTTACTGTGTATTTATGTTATAGACAGCTTCCCCTTACTTTGTGTTTATGTTGTAGGCAGCGTCCCCTTACTGTGTATTTATGTTATAGACAGCGTCCCCTTACTTTGTGTTTATGTTATAGACAGCATCACCTTACTTTGTGTTTATGTTGTAGGCAGCGTCGCCTTACTTTGTGTTTATGTTGTAGGCAGCGTCGCCTTACTTTGTGTTTATGTTATAGACAGCGTCCCCTTACTTTGCGTTTATGTTGTAGGCAGCGTCCCCTTACTGTGTATTTAAGTTATAGACAGCATCCCCTTACTTTGTGTTTATGTTATAGACAGCATCACCTTACTTTGTGTTTATGTTGTAGGCAGCGTCCCACTACTGTGTATTTATGTTATAGACAGCATCCCCTTACTTTGTGGTTATGTTGTAGGCAGCGTCCCCTTACTTTGTGTTTATGTTATAGACAGCGACCCCTTACTTTGTGTTTATGTTATAGGCAGCGTCGCCTTACTTTGTGTTTATGTTATAGACAGCGTCCCCTTACTTTGTGTTTATGTTATAGGCAGCGTCCCCTTACTGTCTATAACATAAATACACAGTAAGGGGACGCTGCCTATAACATAAACACAAAGTAACGGGATGCTGTCTATAACATAAATACACAGTAAGGGGTCGCTTCCTACAACATAAACACAAAGTAAGGGGATGCTGCCTACAACATCCCCTTACTTTGTGTTTATGTTGTAGGCAGCGACCCCTTACTGTGTATTTATGTTATAGACAGCGCCCCCTTACTTTGTGTTTATGTTATAGACAGCGACCCCTTACTTTGTGTTTATGTTATAGGCAGCGCCCCCTTACTTTGTGTTTATGTTATAGACAGCATCACCTTACTTTGTGTTTATGTTGTAGGCAGCGTCCCCTTACTGTGTGTTTATGTTATAGACAGCATCCCCTTACTTTGTGTTTATGTTATAGACAGCGCCCCCTTACTTTGTGTTTATGTTATAGACAGCGTGCCCTTACTTTGTGTTTATGTTGTAGGCAGCGACCCCTTACTGTGTCTTTATGTTATAGACAGCATCCCCTTACTTTGTGTTTATGTTATAGACAGCGACCCCTTACTTTGTGTTTATGTTATAGGCAGCATCCCTCTACTGTGTATTTATGTTGTAGGCAGCGTCCCCTTACTTTGTGTTTATGTTGCAGGCAGCATCCCCTTACTTTGTGTTTATGTTGTAGGCAGCGTCCCACTACTGCGCCAGACTTGGATTTGAACTACTTGCCTACAAAGGTCTGGAGACGGGTAGTCGTGAAGTTGCCGCTCATGTCGTGCGCCAGAACAAGATAATGTTTGTGTTCCAGTCCATGTTACAGCCACACAAACCAAAAGGTCTGTGTGTGTTTGTTTTATTTCTTCTCTCCTTTATTTGGTGCTCCAAATTGGATGTTCTTCGATAACATCAAGTCAGTATTGTTTTTATCACTCATTCTTGCCAAGCTTTGCAACCTTTGCAGTTTTCAATGCAGGATAATCTGTGTGCTCAAAATTAAAATAATAGATAAAATATGGATATATGCTCCCTATAGTCAAAATAACCCTTTAGATCTTTCACTGATTGGATATACTAAACTCAAGGGCCCAAAAGTCTTCCTCCTAAATAGGGAGCGTTGGCAAGTATGAGTTCTCAGTGTCATATATTACAGTTAGGATTTGTTTGATTATCAGTTTTGACCAAACATTCTTTTTTCCTGGGTATGTGTCATTGCTATATTCATCTACTACTAATAGTACCAATAGTTTTGCCACTGCATTGAAAATAGAACTGATAGATTTGGTTTATACTGTAGATATCTTGGACAGTAATTTTTTATATATTTTTTGTTTTATAAATGATTGAACATAAAATAATGTGAATTTAGAAAGAGCTTTTGCTGATGAACAACTGGTGAACAATAGGGCAATTTGGACACTGTTCAAACATATTTTAAAAATTGGAAGGACAAAGTTTAGTGGAACAATAGTAATACATTTGTACAATTTATTACATCAGGAAATCAGGTACACTTGAAATGCTGTTTGTTATTAAACATTGTTGCTTTATTTATAGAGATGGGTGAACATTTGGTGAAACATGGAGATAGTGTCAAGGACGTGGCGTTTGAGGTAGAAGATTTAGACGCCATATTCACTGTAAGTTGTTACCTACTTTATCAACTTATTTATCAGAAGTTGTAGATAGGAAGACGGGTATTAAACAATGATATTGGCTGCAATATTTTTATTCATGGGATATTTTCCCTAATAATATGGTAAATATCGATAATTACAAATAAGGCAACGCTAGGCTGTGATGTTGTGAACATTTCTCTCTACACAAAACCTAATCTTCCAACTTGAAAACAAAAATATCCTAAATTTGTGTTCGAAATCCATCACACCTATGTCATAACTCTCTGGTGCAAAGTACATGCAGTGAGATTAATTGATTTTATTTGTGAGATTTGACTAAAAATTAGTGTGATTTTTTTTCTGAATTAGTGAATAATTAGAAAAACATTTAAAACAGAAAAAAATGCATATCTTACAATATTATCTCATTGATGCTGCACTAAAGCTTATCCTTCTTTGTTGGAGCCAATGGGAGATTTGTGATTATTTTAAGGAAGTTTAGGTGAGGTTTAAAGGATCTGTATTAATTTGTATTTTAATACTTGTTAAAGCATTGATTTAAATAAATCATTTTTGATTCTATTGCTTTATTATAGAAGCAATGATGTGTTAAAATCAAGAAAAGATGTCATTTGACACAAAAGATTGTGAGATAAATAGTGGTCTTTTGGTTTGTAGATTCTGACATTAATCTGATATTTCAATTAAGTATTTGTCTCCTCTGACAGAGAGCTATAGAGCGTGGTGCTATAGTGGTAAAGAAACCGTGGGAGGAAACAGACGAAGGAGGCACTGTGAAGTTTGCCATGGTGAAAACCTACGGAGATACAACACATACGTTTGTGGATAGATCTAAATATAAAGGCGCCTTCCTCCCGGGGTACCGCGCTATCACTATCCAGGACCCACTCTGTGACCTCCTGTAAGTTATGGTCTCGTGACAACATTGTCACTGCATGCTTCTATATCTCCTGTAATTTATGATCTCGTGACAACATTGTCACTGCATGCTTCTATATCTCCTGTAATTTACCATCTAGCAGCAACATTGCCGTTACTTCTATATTTCTTACGATAGTATTAAGCAATATCATGCTTTAATTTGTTTAAACAATGTTTTTTTCTAGTAAATAGAAATGATTTAACAAAATTGTACTTTTATCCCATTATGGGTAAGGAATAGGGTTTGGAGGGAGGGGGATTTTACATATCTGTTCTGTCTCGTACTAGGTTGCATGCAGTCCCATCAAATTTCATTGTCATCACACTCGTAAATTTATACTGTAATGCATCATTATATCAAAACATCAGTAGTTTCACTGCATTATATAGCATTGTGTCAGGTTTGGGGAAAATGCAATGTTCTGACGGAAATTTCGATCAAGCACAACTAAACTCTAAACAGATACTTTAACCTACTGAGCTACATGTACTGTACATGGTCACTAGTAATTGACCTAGTTTGCCTATGCTACTGTATATTGGGAAATTTTAACTTGAGGGCAGATTCATCATTACAGCGAATATAAGTAAATAACATAACATACATATTAGTTAAATGTGAAGGGCAAAATTCATATTAGGCAAATATGTATTTTACCGGCAAAGGTCGAAAGTTTGACTGGGCCAAAAGTTTCCCGGTATAATCTCTTACAGATGAGGGTATTGGTCAGGGTATTTATATATTTTCTGTATTTTCAGTCCGAAGACAGGCCTGAATTTCATTGACCACATCGTGGGGAACCAGCCAGAGGATGACATGGTGTCCGTGGCGGAATGGTAGGTTGTTTTATTTCTAATCTTTCTACCATTTCACTCTCCAAAAACTGAACATTGAGTAAACATTACATGTAATAATAAAACTGGTTTGTTAACTTAAATTTATATAGATTAATTGTATAAATGTATGATAAAAAGAAAGTTTCCTTTATTTTTGTTTGATAGGTATGAGAGAAATCTGATGTTCCACAGATTCTGGTCAGTGGATGACAAACAGATCCATACGGAGTACTCCGCACTACGGTCTATTGTGGTGACTAACTATGAGGAAACCATCAAGATGCCAATCAATGAGCCGGCTTCAGGGAGGAGAAAGAGTCAGATCCAGGTACATATCTTAACCCTAATATTTACCTGTGTTAGGTTGAAACAAAGAATTAATATGTAACAAAGACTCAGAAAGACATGAATCTCTCTGGCTGTATGGAAGAGTGGTAAGCAGGGCAGGGTTTGATAATGACTTTCAGTGTGAGTACATACTTTCATGCAGATTACTGGGTTTGATTCCAAATTAAAAAGACCATTTTTAGAGATGATTTTTTCTCTTACCCTGGACAGATGTATCCTTACTTTTACCGGTGTGAGGTTTCCTTGACTCACCCTAGGGTTGGGACAAGCTACACGTGCTCTTTGCACGTTCTCCACAATAAACCTGATGTCACTGATGTGACCCGGAAGAAGGACTACTTTTATGTGGTCACACACATACACAAGTTCGTCTGCTAACCTTGTCGTGTTTACATTTGACATCAAAGAAGATTGGATTGATTTTAAAATGTTTAAAATATGATGCGTGAACAATCTGACGCATACATATAATATTAATACGCTATCCACGTGTTCCTGTTTACAAACAATATGCTTCGTCTTACACTTGGACAGGAACAACAGGGTAAGAGAAAAATAATCATTCACCCCCTCGGGGATGAGATGGGGGATCTCAACCCTCGGGGGGAAGATTCTTAAGTTGCCAAACACTCGGCAAAGCCTCGTGTTTGGCAAATTAAGAATCTTCCCCCCTTGGGTTGAGATCCCCCTATCTCACCCCCAAGGGGATGAAAGATTTTATTAATCTCCTGTCTTCCATAGAGATTTCAAAGTCATTTCTAGAACAATCTTGTTGATGTATGACTGAAATCCATAGGTCCTGTGTCACAATGAATGTAAAGAAAACCTCGACAACGATTGCAAAAAGAGTACTTTCAACCACCAGAGAAAATGCTTTCTTTGAAACGACTGAACAGATAAACCATTCTACAGATCTCCTAATTATGCGAGGTTTGATTTGTAGATATGTGTGGTAGATTTAATTGTACTAACGATTATTGTTGCCTTCTAGCTTTGGGCTAGAGGGAATTGTTTTTTTAGCTCAATAAGTGGAGTGCCAGGACGCAGCTTTGATCTCTAGGTGAAAGCACACTACTTTCTTTTGTCATTTGGTCTTAGTCTACAGATAATGTGACTGTGGATAGTTCAAACCTTTCCAGCTATATAAACGAATACAAATATTAAATCACACACATTTTATTACCACGCTATAATTACCGTGTCTGGGTGATTATTCCTTTTCTGCTAACCTCTGACTATGTTGTTTGTTGCTAGGAATATGTGGATTTCAATGGTGGAGCTGGAGTACAGCATATAGCTATGAACACAAACGATATCATAGAAACGGTAAGTCTACGATTCAAAACACAAAAATGAGGTCTACAGATGTTCAGCAAACTTTCCAGATAATTATATGAAGAGCTTGATTAATCATTGCAATGGCAAACATATCAATAAAAACTTTCCAAACTGAATTTATATTTCAACATTTTAGTGTAGTGTCTATTCCGTCTTTGCGTATTGCAGAGTTATCTTCTCTTGGGAGCAGGTATTGATTGTTACGTCATTGGTTCATGTGAGAAAATTACGTCGTTTTCTCAAAAAATGATGACATTACTCTCACAAACCAATGACGTAACAATCCATACCTGCTCACAAGAGAAGATAACTCTGCAATACGCAAAGTCGGAATAATGAAAAATTATGCTGTTTATTGCTCATTGGTAAACATATAAATATTGTTTATCTACTACTGATAATAAGTACTGGATTACTGTATACCTGTAAATTCAGTACAATTAATTTGCAAGTTAGTTTAGTTTTTTAAGACATTTATTCTGGTCACAGAGGCTGGATAGTCTGCCCCATTCCCAATGGAGAGTAATGCTATTTTCCCTTTTCTCAACTTAAAAAGTCTTCCCCTTTTTTTTTACTGTTACTTAGAAGATATTGCAACTTTGAATAATCTTTCCAGAATGAAAGTATTTTTGTCATTTAGATGATACTTTGACAGTGACAGTCACTTCTTGCTACAATGTACATGTACTTATATATATATTTTTTAAAAAGGACGAGTTAGCCTTAAACCAATTTTCCATTTAAATATCTGGCATGCTTAATGAATTGACATATTCATTTCCAGGTAACGCGTATGAAAGCTCGAGGTCAGCAGTTTCTGGAGATTCCTACGAAGTATTATGATAACCTGAGGAAAAGATTAAAGCTCTCCAACATCAAGGTCACCGAAAACATGGACACTGTACGTACTGGGTGTATGTGGGAAGGTCTTGTAGTGTAACAATAAATACATCACTACCTTGTATCAAGGTAGAGTGACAGTGAAACACCATACAACATCAACCTTGAGATGATACTCCAGGGGTTACACCATCCTCGATACTCCAGGGGTTACACTCACTCACGCTCTCTGCACCCCTTGAATATGTTGAAGCAAAATTGAAGGCACATTGATAAGTCTCGGGTAAAAAACCACCTGATCAATCGCTAGACTGATGCCGTTTCTTTGAAGATTACAGAGGAGTGACACCTGATTTCAAAGTCAGTCAATGTTAACCGTTACGTGACCACGTGATTCTTTTCATGTACTTCAAAGATCAAACTTGTCTCCTTGTCTCATCAACTACGTGGTGCACACTGAGCCTTCAATTTTGTCATAACATATTCCAGTGGTGAAGAGAGCGTAAGTGAGCGTAACGCCTGGAGTATCGAGGATGCATTCTACATGTACCCCGTATCAAAGCAAGGGTAAATGAAACACTGTACTACTTCATATTAACATGAAGTAGCGGTGAAACCCTATACGTCCTTGTATCAGTGTACTGTAACAATGAAATGATAGTAGTGTTGTTCTAATTCATTCAATCAATGATCAGTCGTTTTACCTTCGCCTATGACTAATCAATCTTCTAGGGTTGATCTCGGTTTGACTATAACATTAAAACTTTCAAGAGTTATTGTCAGAGAATGAGAGCTTACTTGAAAATTGATTAAATAATTATTTACCTGTAAGTTTTTCCATAAACTGCATTCAAACATTTCCGACTATAGCTAGGTAGTTAAAAAGTATCCACTACATTTTGTGAATCCTGGTGAATGTTTCTCTATTTAGTTTTGTTTAATTTTATGATCAATCAATAATCAATTATCAATTGTTTGAAAAGAGTGAAGTCAGAAGAATAATCATGATGTGGCAGATTTTAATTGTACAATATAGGATTACGGTCGCCTTCTAGCTTCGAGCTAGAGGGAATTTCCCTTTAGCTCGGTGGTAGAGCGTTCGAACAAGGAACCTGGAGATCGAGGGTACAATCTCTGGTGGAAGCACACTATTCTCTTTCCTGTTACAAATTGTGTCCGTGGCCTTCTCTGTGGTGACAAGGAGTTAGAACCTGGTTTGTGGGTTTCGAGGGCGAACACATTTAAAAAGGGGGGAGTAGTGTGGCAGGTTTTAATTGTACATAGGATTAAGATCGGCTTCTAGCTTCGAGCTAGAGGGAATTTCCCTTTAGCTCAGTGGTAGAGCGCCTGACTAGGAACCTGGAGATCGAGGGTTCGGTCCCCAGTGGAAGCACGTACACTATTCTCTTTCCTGTTACAATGAAATTTGAAGCAATTTCCAACACTACTACGAAGTATCAAAGTACTTGAACATTGAAACCTTAACCTATACTGAGATAGTGTAACAGGGAATTTAGGAAGTGTTACAGAAAAAAAGTCATGTTAGTTAATGAATTATAGCTTTTCCCACAAGCCCGATGAGCATGCAGCTGTGCCAAGCTCTGTCCTCCTGACGCCATGTCAATATGTTATGTAATTTATGTAGTCCTTTGTTTTTGTTAATTTGGAAGATTATTATTTGCTTTTGTTGTATTTGAGACGCTGAGAAAACTTGTCATTACAGCTACAGAAACTGCGTATCTTGGTAGACTTTGACGAGAATGGTTACCTCCTACAGATCTTCACCAGGATGATGCAGGACAGACCGACAGTCTTTCTGGAGGTCATTCAGCGACACAACAACAGTGTCAGTATATCAATATCTCCAAAACTTATCTCCTATTACCAAAACTTATCTCCTACTACCAAAACTTATCTCCTACTACCAAAACTAATCTCCTACTACCAAAACTTACCTCCTACTACCAAAACTTATCTCCTACTACCATATCTTATCACCTACTACCAAAACTAATATCCTACTACCAAAACTTATCTCCTACTACCAAAACTTATCTCCTACTACCAAAACTTA